TCAGTAGAACCAATTCACCTAAATACTAACTTTTATACTGAATACTCAGAACCAGCTCCTCTAAATACTAATTTTTATACTATGTAGTACCAGTTCTCCTAAGTACTAATCCACACTTATACTATATAGTACTTCATTTAGTTACTTCAATCACATACCTCCGAAACNGTAATGGATCNTTCAATTTCAGATTGAGCAAGAGCTACTTCAGTTGGATCCCTACTACTTGACGCTTTTGAAGTCGGATCCTTTGAAGTTAGATCCTTTGAAGTCCTTTCTTTTAAAGTCCCTTCCTTGGAACTTCTCTTTTCCTTTGAAGTCCTTTCTTTTGAAGTCCCTTCCTTGGAACTTCTCTTTTCCTTTGAAGTCCTTTTCTTCCTCAAAATTTCTCCCATGGTCTTAGGACCCATTTCTGCAAAATCCACATCAACGAACAAATCCCAAATCCAATCAAAACAGACACAAAACCAGGATTATCCACAAAACCATCCAAAACTATCTTTGGACCATCATCTTTGCCCAATTCATATCAAAACCGAAAACCCTAGTTTCAAACCCGAACCCATACATCTCCAATTCATATCAAAATCCGGCACATCTCAACCAAAATCCTTAATTTCCAAAATCGAATATCTAATAAACCCTAATTTCAAACAAACAAAAACTTAACAAATCCGACATATTTACAGTTGAAATCAAATGAATCCAATCAAAATCCCTATGAAATTCAGACCTTTTCTCGCCACCCTATACCTCGTTGGAGCAAAACCCCTCTCGAAAAATGAAGAGATGAGATTTAGGGATTTTAGGGCTTACCTTCAAGTTCAGAGATGGTGCGGAAGACGATACAAAGCCATGATGGTGCAGAGATGGTGCGGAAACGGTGCAAAGACGAGGTGGAGACGGAGTTGAACCGGAGCCGGCGAAATCGTCGGAATCGCTTTCGAGAAGGAAAAAAGCGATGGGGAAGAAGAAAACGCGAAACTGATTTTTTTGTTTTTGGGGTTGTTTTTTTTAAATTTTGTTTTATGATCCAGGTCGATCCGGGTTCGGATAGAATTATACGGTTGGGTCATGTAATATATTCAATTCATTAAGGATGGATTGGTCTTTAACCATATTTTCAATTAAAAAAAACAAAAAAACTTGTTTTAATTGCTAAGACTTTGGAGAATAAATTTCTCAGGCCTTGGTTATAATCCAAACTAAAATAATTGTCAAAACGTTCAATCCCGAA